ACTAAGAAATGCTTACCTTTGGTGATTTACTCCTCATATTTCTCCCTTTTATACATTCATATTTAGCTATTTTTCAATATTCTGAAGGCACAGAGTTTTTCTGGTTTTTGGTAGCAACACTCACTAGCTCTAGTTTCCATAGCTATACTACATCTGAAACTATAAATAAACTGTTCTCGAAAGCCACACTTGTGCACAGGTAAATGCCACACATAAAACTCCCTTGATAAGTGAAAAATAATCTACTTCATGAGAAAATGGTTTACAAAATTCAAAACAGGGGCTAGAAAAAGCTCAGAGGACAGAGTGCCTGCCACGTACACAGAAAGATCTGAGTTGGGATCCTCAGCACCCACATAAAAGCCAGGTGTAGAGCTATGCATCTGTAAACCGAGTCCTGGGGGTGTGGGTGTGGGACAGTGACAGTCAGGTCCCTTGGCAGTCTTAAGCTTCAAATTCAGTGAGGTGATCCTGTTTCAAAATATAATGTAGAGAATAGCTGAAGAGAAGGCTCAGAGGTTAAAATCACTTCCAGAGGAGCTAGGTGTGATTCCCAACAGTCACAACCACATGGAATTCCATGTCCAGGGGATCTGATACTATTTTCTGACCTCTTCAGGTACTGCATGCACATGGTATACTACAGACATACACGCAGGCAAAATACCCATACACATGAATCAAAAATACATAGTCTTAGTTTGGGTTTCTAATGTTAGGAAGAGACACCATGACTACGAAACTCTTATAAAGGAAAGCATTTCACTGGAACAGGCCTACAGTTTCAGAGATTTAGTTCATTATCATCATGACGGGACACATGGTAGCTTGGAAGCAGGCACAGGACTGGAGAAGCAGGTAAGTGGTATGCATCTTGATTTGCAGACAGCAGAAGGAGACTGCCATACTGGGTGTAGCTTGAGCATATGATATTTCAAAGCCAGCCCCCACACTTACACACCTCCTCCAATAAGCCCACTCCTCCTAAAAGTACCACTCTATATGGACCAAGCATATAGATACACAAATCTACAGTCGCCATTCCTATTCACATCACCACACACACTAAAAAATTAAATGGACGATGATCAAGACAGACACCTGAAATAGGCCTCTGTACTTCCCAGGTGTGTGCCTACGCAATGCAAATTTGCACTTATATGCACATGTGTATATAACCACAAAAGTAAGCACACTGAATGCAGAAATATTTTTGTGGTTATTGATACAGGGTCTTACTATGTAGCTCTAGCTAGTGTGTAATTTGCTATGTAGACCAGAGTGGCCCCAAACCTGCCTCTGCTTCCAGAGTGCTGGGATTCAAGATTTATACTACTATGCCTGGCAAGATTTTAGCATTTTAACTAGAAATATTCTACTATAACAGAGAAATGCTGATGATGTAAAATAAGGTTTTTTACCATGCTGTAACTTGTGTCTTCACTGTACACTCAGTAAGATCCTTCACCTTTAGAATTTTGAAACCTCATTTCAGAAAACGCACATATATAGGTGTTTCATCACTCTAAAAAAAGAATATAACTCCTATCCCACTGTTTATGTCTGTTAAACAAGGCATCTGAGAAAGTTATACAGGACAGTTGCCTAGGTCAGCATGTGAACTGAGAATCGAACCTGGGTACTCTAAAAGAAACATCAGTGCTCTTAAACACCAAGCCATTCCTCTTGTCCCTAAGTACTTATTTTTATACCTAGAGATAAGCATATCTTCTATTCCTCATCAAAGAGGTTTCTTTTTGGAGCCTAAGAGACTACTACATAAATTCACAATTGGTCAAATGTTGAGAACAGCTGACCATGGGGCATCCAACCCCAACTAAAACATTTTCAACACAACCCTCATACCTAAGACTCAGAGAACATTGTGGAAGATAGGGTGGAAAGACTACAAGAGCTAGAGGACCAGAATCTGCTGCACCCTTGAAATATAGTATCTTCTTTGTATGACAAAGAAGCAGCAAAAGTGAAGTTTCAACAACACGGTTTCCTAAATAAGATCGTCACAATAACAATGCCAGTTGACATGTTAATGTGGATAAGGAAAATTTTACAAGTCCCCACCCCTAGATGAAGGACTACAGGCAAGTAATAGCTGCTGAGAGATAGAGATTCAGTCTTCTCTAGGGATAAGCCCCTTGATAGGCTACCCATTCCCAAATGATCAACTATAAACACATGCATACATACACACACAGGAGCAACACTAAACAGACTCAGTAGGTTTATATATATGTATATATGCATACATATAGATATATGTATATATGCATATATAGATATATAACAATAATAATAAAAAAAGGTTATAAATTTGAGAAAGTAAATATAGGAAGAATTGGTGGTGATAGAGGGAGAAATGATTCTGAGGTAAATGCAAAATACTTATGTATAAAATTCTCAAAAATAATAAAAAATTAAAAGGTAAAAACTTCTCAGTCAAAAAAACCAATTTCATGTACCTAGATTCACAGCAAAATTCTTATCATGGGATTTTCACTATCTATGTGAAACTGAAAGTTATCACCCTTCAAATCTAATTTCATGAATTATAGAGATAATAAATATTTAATAGTTCATAAGGTGATCATATTAAGTAAAAAAACTTACATAAAGCACTTTATTTACATAATACATGACCCCCAACAAGAATCAAATGATGACAACTCTCCAACTATTATCAGTCTTCTTCAGTGATTAAGCAGAGCTAGGTAATGAGATGTTCTAGATAACTTTGAGTTTTCCAGAGACTGGGCTTTACTAGACAAATGCTTTATGTTTGCCAAAACTTGGAGAAAATCAACCTTTCTTTCTTTCTTTTTTTTTTTTTTTTGGTTTTTTGAGACAGGGTTTCCCCGTGGCTTCAGAGCCTGTCCTGGATCTAGCTCTTGTAGACCAGGGTGGTCTCGAACTCACAAAGATTCGCTTGCCTCAGCCTCCAGAGTGCTGAGATGAAAGGTGTGTGCCACCACCGCCCAGTGAGAAAATCTTTCTAAAACATTTCCCAAAGTCCTTTGCTATGTTAAAAGATATCTATTAATATAAACCTATTTGTATTGGTGTCTGGTACAAATAAATGTCTAGATCATTACAGTTTATAACTCAGCTTGCTGACAATAGGTCTTACTAAATGTGAAACCTTTTATCAGTTTCGGGCAATGAAAGAGAAATGCCACTCTGGGAGGTTATCAAGAGGCAATGAGAGAAAAAGAGTCATTCAGAACTCTCACAGCCAGCTCACCAAATGACTGCCAGTTAGCTTAGGGAAAATCTGAGGTGCTAAAACAGATATTTTCAGGTATTTTAATGGGGTTATATAAAAACGTAGGCAGACTGATTCAAGACTAAACTAGAAACAGCAGCTATGTTGCAAGTAAACAGGTTAGACATTAACCGGGCACTTTCATTACGTGATAGATGAAGTATACGGAAATTTGAAGCTCCTATGATCTATGCTCAAACAGACCATATATTGTCTATTTAATAAGAACTCTAATCACCTTAACAATGAACAAAAATACAGCCGACATTGCTCCCTTTCACTCAAAAAGGCAATAATAAATGCTGTGAAATGTTTTACACATCTATTCACTCATATATAATACACATATCAATTCTTCCATTTTTCAAATTAATCACTACAATCCACTTTTAATACTGAGTTGTTGGTTTCTTTTTTTGCAAAAAATGCAAAGGACATTTCAAATAAATTAAATTAAATTTAAAATGGTGCACAGTGAGGAACAACTATTTGTAATTGTTAGGCGACACATTTTCAAATATGTCTGCCCATCTCAATTTTGAATTAAAAAGTGTACTTAGTATATACTATGTACTCACTCATAAGTGGATACTAGGATATTGAGCCTATAGTTCATGATCCTAGAGAAGCTAAGTAACAAGGTGAACCCTAAGAAAAACATATATAGATCTACCTGGAAAGGCGAAATAGACAAGATCACCTGACAAAATTGGGAGCATGGGGGTGGGAAGAGAAGGGAGGATGGAAGGGAAAGAGGAGGGGAAAAAGGGAGGAGTGAGGAGAACTTGAGGGAATGGGATATTCGAGAAGGAGAAAGGACAGAGATGAGAGCAAGGAAAGAGATATCTTGATTGAGGGAGCCATTATAGGGTTAGCAAGAAACCTGGCTCTAGAGAAATTCTAGGAATCCACCAGGATGACCCCAGCTAAGACCCTAAGCAATAGAGGAGAGGGGGGCCCAAATTTGACTTGTCCTGTATTTGAACTGATGAATATCTTAAATGAATATCTTAAATATCACCACAGAACCTTCATCCAGCAACTGGTGGAAACAGAGGCAGAGACCCACATCGGAATACTGGACTGAGTTCCCAAAGTCCAGTTGAAGATTGGGAGGAATAAGAATATGAGCAAAGAGGTCATGACCATGATGGGTACAGCCACTGAAACAGTCTACCTGAACTAATGGAAGCTCACCAACTCAAGCCAGGCCGGGAAGGAATAAGCATAGGACCAAACTAGCACCCTCAATGTGGTTGACAGTTGAACTGCTGGGGCAGACAGAGGGGCCACGGGCAGTGGCATTAGGATTAATCCCTACTGCATGTACTGGCTTTTTGGGAACCTTTCTCTTTGGATGGATACCTTGCTCAGCATAGATATAGTAGGGAGGGACTTGGTCCTTCCTCAAAGCAATGTGCCTTACCCTCTCTGAGGAGTGTATGGGGGGAGGAGGGAGGGTATGTTGAGGGAAAGGGATGAGGGGAGGGAGTTGGAACTTGGATGGTATACATAATAAAAAAAGTTAGTCTTCTTAAAAAAAGAAAAAAAATAAATAACGTGAACAGGAAAAAAAAAGTGTATTTAGACAAGTTCTAACTGACCTTACATCTGCGGAGAACTCATCATTTAAATACCCAGTTTCAGATGAGAAACTCCTAACACCATCATGTACAAAACAGAACTGGCAGAAGTATCACAGCATGTATTTTATACTAACCAATCAGAAGAACTGTTCCGACAGCTAAGCCTCCACCTAGAAATGACACACAAGAACAACATTAGTCACTAACTTTATAGGTTCTTCTTTAGCACAAAATTTAGACTTCACCAAGAACAGATACCTCAATAGTATCAAATAATATTAACAATAATAATAGGTCAATAATAATAGACACTGCCCTTGTGAAGAATATTTGGACGATCTTTGCAATACTTCGCTTAATGTGTTACTATGATATAGTTACATGTTACCTGCATTACATAGTACATATGACATTCACTTTTCCAGTATGTTATAGTGTCCCCTTTCTCAGAACTAGGAGGCACTCAATACAATTGTGGTAAAGCACTCCATTGTTATATTCAGCACTGGTTAATAAATTAACTTAACAGCCAAGACACAAATGCGCAAGTGACTGCTAAAAATTCTACTTTATTCCAAATTGGGCAAGTCTCATAGGAATTAACAATTCTAATTATTTTTAGAAAAATTATACAGAAAGTCTTGAAATTCTCAAATATAAAATTTATTTTTGTTAATTCAAATTACAGGAAATAATAAAAAATATATTTTCACACACACACACACACATTTGGTTTTTTGAGACAGGGTTTCACTTTGTAACACCCCTAGCTATCCTGGAACTAGCTCTTGTGGACCAGGCTGGCAGCAAACTCACAAAGATCCTCCTGCCTCTGCCTCCCAAGTTCTGGGATTAAAATGGTGAGTCACCAGCACCCGGCCATTTTCACTAATATTAGAATGAGTTCTTTTAAATATTTGAATGAAGCTAACATCTTGAATATATAATTCAAATAGTCACTAAAAATAACTTTTTGGATATCAAAACTATGCTACAGAGGAAAGACAGTCCATATGATACTTTGCTATTCATCTGTAAAAGTATTAGAACTAGTACCTGGAATTAATGTCTCAAATATACTTTAAAAGTAAGAAATACATACTAAAGAAAGACTACAAGTGTATTTGTTGCATTATTCTAAAAATATTCAAGGTTGTTGAACAACAGAAGACAGTATTCTTGTAAGGTTTGTAAGTATGAGCACAAAACCATAAAACATTTTGAGCATTAATAAAAACCTTTTTCTCAAAATATTTTATAGTGGTAAATATGTGGAAAATTTAATATAAAAAGTTCACTTAATACTATTTCTTTCCCCTTGCACAAAAAGCATACTTGCCAGGTAGTGGTGGTGCACACCTTTAATCCCAGCACTAAGGAGGCAGAGGCAGGCGGATCTCTGTGAGTTCGAGGCCAACCTGGACTACAAGAGTGAGTTCCAGGACAGGCTCCAAAGCTACAGAGAAACCCTATCTCGAAAAAAAAAAAAACACCACCACCACCACCACCAACAACAACAACAACAAAAAGCATACTTATTGTGTTAAAGAGTCTGAAATCTATTAACATGGTCCCAGAAAAAATTGAAAAACTGTAGTATATACTAATTTATGGTGATATCTGAAATAATTTGAATACAATTTGTAAAACGTTTCAAAATCATTGGTGACACTATTAAAGTTAGTACCTTTACATATGTTCATATGCATGTGGGTGCATCTCTCTCCTGTGTGTGCATGCATGTGCGCGTTCATGTTGGGAGGTCAGGGTAGCCTCGGCTGGCTTCATTTCCTGTAGCTGTGAATGGGGCTTCAATTCCTGACCCTTTCATTTCTACCTCTAACACACTGGGATTTACAGCATTTTAGCTGGATTCATCAGAAAATTGAACACATAATTTAATTATATATCAAGACAACTTCCCACTCTGTAACATTTAAATAGAAACCACACTGATGAGGACAGTTTTAAGATTAACAGAGTGAAATATAATTTAAGACAGCATTCATAAAAAATCCAAGTACTTACTGTCTGTTTTTAGATTATTAGACAAAATGTTTAAGTTGTCCTATGTAAAGGCCACAGATAATTTCTACATTTATTTTTAACTTTACACCCTTCCTTCATGAGGAAAAAACAAACATCTAATACCTTAATGGTCATTCTCTTTATGTTTAAGATGATAAAATCACCAGGCGGTGGTGGCCTATGCGTTTAATCCTAGCACTTGGGAGGCAGAGGCAGGTAGATCCCTGTGAGTTACAGCCTGGTCTACAGAGAGTTCCAGGACAACCAGGGCTATACAGATAAACCCTATCTTGAAAAACAGAAAATAAAACAAAACAAGAAGATAAAATCACACTCTAGTGTTCCAGTCAGAGTTGTTACTATAAAAGTTGCTGATTCTCCTGGTCTATGTCCCTAATCTACATAATTTCTCTATCTAACTTCCAGTGGAATAAGCAAAGGGTTTTAAAGTTTGAGATAGGATCTTACTTTTTAGCCTTGGCTGAAACTCACTGAACATTCTTGCCTCAGCCTTCTCAGCACTAGGATTTCAAGCATAAGCTACCATGTCCAAGAAGTTTTCCTTCATGGAGGGATAAGGAGATGTTGGTCAATGAAAATTAAATATGTAAAATTCAGCACGGTCAGTAAGAGATGCCTTTGCCATATTTGCAATAATCTTCAGTTAAGAACCCACCACTTAATGTGTATTATTACTTGGTCAGTGATGATGATAGTAGAAATAATGGACAAAGGGGGACTAGCTATGCAGAGCATCTTGCAAATCCCACGAGGGAGGGAGGTGGTTTTGGGAAAAATGATTGAACAAAATTATTTTCTGCCAATTTAGGAATATGTCACTCAAAAATTATGAATCTTATGCTTATAAAACTCATAACAGTTGGAAACTTTATACAGTGAGTTCTTAATACACTATCAAACAGGGATAAATTAAATGACTTATGATTTAAGCCAAGTTTTTTCCCCTAATGAGCTCTAGTGTATAGTTTAATTTCTGATTGGTGACAAAACCAAGTAGAAAAAGGAAATGGAAAGGCTATCTTAACTTAGAAAATCTACTGGTGGACTTTTGTTGTTTAATGTTCAATAGAGAATATTCATAGTTCAAGCTGGGAGGCAGTATTTTGTGTTAAAACAGGAATAAATTTAATATTTGAAACATATCAGAGCTGGGCATGGTGTCCCATGATTTTAGTTCCAGCACTTGGGAGGCAAAGACAAGAGTGTTCTACACAATGATTTCCAGGACAGCCAGGGCTACGTGGCGAACCTGTCTCAAAAAACTAACAAATACGTTGTGGAGGCCGCAAAATGTGAGCCTACGTCCACTTTGACCAAAGGGCAGAGAATTGGAACTTATCTCTATTCCTTCAAGGTTATTGTGTTTCCACCTCAAACAAAGGTCCCACCTAAATTTACTTCAGACTCTCTCAAGGTTCTGGTCAACCTGGTACTTCAGGGAAGTAAATCTGTTCAAACAAAAGTCTAAAGACCCAACTAAGTTCCAATTCCCTCAAGGAAATAACTTTGGATTCCACCCAGGGAGTGGTTTGCCTACAGAATGTTTTGGGCCGGGCGGTGGTGATGCCCGCCTTTAATCCCAGCACTCGGGAGGCAGAGGCAGGCGGATCTCTGTGAGTTCGAGGCCAGCCTGGTCTACAAGAGCTAGTGCCAGGACAGGCTCCAAAGCTACAGAGAAACCCTGTCTCGAAAAACTAAAAAAAAAAAAAAAAAAAAAAAAAAAAGAATGTTTTGGTCTAGGGTGTGAGTGTCAACTTGTTTTGTTCTAGCAACAGAAAGTTTAACTTTGGCTATAGCCCACAACCTTCAACTGGTATGTTCACTTCCTTGGATCATGTTTTAAGTCTTACTCCTATTTTTGGGGTCAGGGGTATTTTAAGCAGTTGGAAATTAAATGCAGGCTAATTTCAGTGCTCACTGGAATTTCTTACTGATACTATTCTGTTTCTCCATTTTATTATTTTCATTTACATTTTCATACATTTTACTAATATTTTCTAAATCCTTATGCTTTCTACCCTGGCAAGAGGTATTTTTGTCAAGGCTAGTCCCCGACAAAACAAGCAAACAAACAAAAAAAAAAAAAACAAAAATAAAAGGTAAGAATTTTAAGTGTTAAAAGCTGTCTGACATAGTTTTGTAATTCATGGGGGAGTAGTTAGACAACTATCAACCAATATCAGTACTATTTTAATGGGAAAATTTCAGTCTTATATCCCCCCCAAAATTTGTAAGTTACAAACTTTGGGTAAATGAGGTCAAATATTGCTTGGAAGTGATACCTTATTTTTCAAAGTTGGTGAATGTAAAAGGATAAACTACAGAAATTAGGTAATATATTAATGTGTAGATAGACACTACTGGAAAAAAGAAATGTAAAAAGCAAGCTCACTTTTTCCTTAGCCTAGTGCAGTATCCTCAAATTAATACAGCCTGTCAAATTAAATTGTGGTGATTTTGTTAATGTGTTTCTGTCTTAGTTATCAAATATCCTGGCCTATGATTCAGACACTAGTGGGCAAATATGGAAACCAAAGTTATAAACAGGGAAAATGTCTCTGGAGATTAAATAATATCAAACAGCTTTACGTAATAATAGAAAAGAGATATATTTTCTTTAGTTGTATAGCTAGCTACCTAAACTATAATAAAAATTATTAACCATAAAGTCCAAGCTTAATGTATATTATCTATCCCACGATACTGATGACAACGTAGTAAGCATGCCAACAGCATTTATGCTTTAAAATCAGTTTTGAAAATGGTGGCCACCACAACAAGCTTCTCCATAAAACTTCTGCTGGACTATTATTTACCACAAATCCCACCTACTGTCCCTTGACTGTCAAACTGAATTAACTCTGAACAGGGCAGAGGTTCCTCCATAAAAATCTGTGAAGTCACCCTTCCTTCAAAAACCTCTCAAGACTGACAACAATTTTTCTTAGAAATTCCTAGAATATCTATTTAGCTAAATTATTTTCCTCTTCTGAAATGTATGTTATTTACCTATAGTGACCTCAAATAGCAATATAAATGCCCTGAAAAAGACAAAGTTAAATACCTAGGTTAATGGGATTGATACATAGCTCAGTGGTTAAGAGACTTGTTGCTCTTGTAGAGGATCCAAGTTTGATTCCCAGAACCCACACCAGGCCACTTTCAACAACCAGTAACTCCAGCTTCAGGGGATTGAAAGACCTCTTCTGGCCTCTGGGGACGACTATCCTAATATGCCTAAGTCCACATATATACACATAAATAAAAATAAAATAAATCTTAAAGAAAATCCCAGATTAGAAAGTCTAAACAAAAATTTCTAAAATTTAAATATTGCCAACTTGGGGAACTTATATGAGAATCCAATAATAAAATTATATCAACAGAACAAAAATAAATGATTAGATCAAGTTTTTGGTTGTTTTTTTTTTTTTTTTTTTTTTTTTTGCAAATGAAGACAAGGGGGATTTGATTTGAAAGACATTTTGATCGGAGTAATAGAAACAATGAATTACCAAATAGCTAACATTCAATTATTCTATGTGATGGGTTTCAAATATATTTGCAACTATGTTTAAATTTATATTGATATCAGGTGGCAGTAGTAAAGTTTCCACCGTACCACAGAATGGGTATAATACAATATTAGCTTGTTATGTGCTCACAATGTCATAGCATATTTTCATTTATAATATCCCTCTACCATTATATTTTATCGCCATGGGGTCATATAAGCCTTTCCACTATATGAATCAACTTTTGAAAGTAACAATTTAACCCAAAGTTCTTATTCTTATTTGAATATACATTAGCAACAGATGTTTCTCTTCCAAAAGTTTTAATGAAAAACAAATTAAATTTTTTGCTCCAGAAAATATACAAGACAGGAAATCAAAATACAAAAATGTCATTAAGAAGTTAAAAACTGAAATACAACTGGGTATATTTATTAACCCAAACACGGTAATATTATTACAGCATTCTGAATTTCTATGTACTTTGCAAATTAACTTCAATCATGCAATACACACATTTCAACAACTGATACTATTTTCAGCTTAGTCAGCACTAATTTTCAGCATGTTATACTCAAATATGAGAATCGTCCACTGCCCAAGCATTTCTTAAAATTTCAAACATTATCGATCAAGTATATGTCTCTGTAGAGACACAGTGCCCTCGGTTCTTTTTGGCAGGTGTGAAGAAAATGCAGTTAAATAATTAATCTTAAGTTCAGTAAATTGTCAGAACTCCCTGAAAATCGTTCTCAAAAATTAGCAAGAGCGGGGCTCTAACTACAGATATGCCCAAACAGGAATCTGAAGCTCAGTACCCTTGGTCGGGAGTTTTGTGAATATTCATACCACTAAATCTCTGAATCAGTTTTTGGAGCTCAAAAGCCAAACTCGATCTTTCATACTTACCATTACTTTAGTCTTTTTTCCCTTCTTCTTTTCAATCAAGACCGTATAAAAACTTATGGAGTGCCAAGCTCAGGTCTAGGCACATTTTGCTATTTTAATGAGAAAATGAAGGCCTAGTACTGAAAATGCAGCCTTTTTGTTCATAGGGTGTGATTACTACCAACTGAACAAATGTACCTATCCCATTCAATTAAAAATATGAACATTTAAGGAGTAGAAATGATTGACAGGTTAGACTGATAGAAAAGATCTACTGTCATTAAAGCTTACAGATTAATTTCTGTCTGGATAAGAGTTCACTCAAATGGTCCAGTCCTCTAAAGTTTTGTTCAAACCTAGGATAACAACTAAGGCCATAAGGGAAAAAAGTAAAATGAATATTCACCAACTATGCATTTTGAATTCTGTTTTTAGCCTCACACAACTCAACGGGTTTAAAACAATTACGTGAAACTACTTTAAATTTACGTAGAAAACAATCAGAATCCATTCAGAACAAGAAATAATAGAATCAAGAAACCATACTGTTTCTGAAGCTTGTCTTGTTATTTGATAAACTTACTTTAAAAGCCTGGAATATAACCCAGAGAAAAGCCTAAATTAAGTACAAGAAGAAGCAGTGGCAATTGTAATATATTATGCAAATGTACCATATGTAACAGACACATAGCAAATACTATGAAAAATAGCTTACAAAATGTAAGCACACATCTGTGTTTAAGAAGCAGCATTCAGACATAACTTATGAACATACTGAAGATACTCGGGGGCAGAACTATCTGAATAACAAGGACTGTCACTCCTTTGAGTCAACACTCATCTTTGACATCCACTCTTCTAGACCCAACACCGCTTACAATTTAAGGAGATAACTGGCCCACAGTGGGGGGAAAATAGAGGGGAAAGCTTTCAGCATTTTCTAAAGAAACCCTTCTCTTACAACGCTAAGTTTTGTAGGTTATTCCTAGCTTTAAGCTACCTGGATAGGAGGGAGAGTGTCATGGAGACCAGCAGAGGATTCTAAAAGTCAATTCCTTTCCATGTTTCTTTTTCATTAGGAATCACTTTAGGGTAAAAGCACGTAGGGAGTCCTGGTCATCTAGAAATGAGTTTCTGGGTAGAGCGGAGTTAAGGGTTGTGGGTCCCAATGCGGGCTTAGTGCACGTATCTCAAGACATCTCCATGCAAGTCTTCCGCCCCCTGTCTCTATCATAGCAGGCTACCCTAACCACGTTTGTGAAGGGGAAAGGGGTGAGCAGGGCTGGCACGGCGTGGGGATGAGGGGCTGCCCCGGGGGTCCCTCCCCAAGTCTTCCCTGGGATGTGCCCTCATCTTCAATTTGAACCGACCTAGGAGCTGGTCCAGGGCTGGGAGCCCGGTTGACACCAGCAGCTGTCCATTCCGCACCGACGGTCGCGTGCCCGCAATGGACAGCAGCCGAGGGCCACCTCCGTCAGCCCCTGAGGCCTTGCTCTTCCTCTGGAAGCTGGAGGTGCCGCTCCGGCCGGCTGTGGATGCCAGGCTCGGTACGCCCGCGCCGCAGGTAGCTGTCGCCGCCATCTTGAAGCTCCCGCGGAGAGCCAATAGGAACTCTGGGAACTCGAGCGACTGGCCGGTCAGAGACAGCCCCAAAGTCCCGCCTACTCTCCACTGATAGCCAATAGAAATGAGAATTCCCTTGCTACTCAGCCAATCGCCAGGCCTATTGCTGAAAAGTGCTCTGTACGTCAAGCAGGAGGCTTGGACGCGTCCCGGTTTGACCAGGTCTGCTAGAGTTCTGGTTGAGGAACTTCTGGTTGGTGTTTGGGGCCGCAGGTGGGTACTGTCCTTGGGCATCCGTGGTTTGCGAGCGCCCGCGTTCACGCGGAGTTACCGAAAAGGCTGGAGGAGCCATTCGCCCGCGGGGCTTTGCTAGCCACTGCCGGTTGGAGAGCTCTCATTTCCCTTGATGTTTAGCACCGGGGAGAGGCTCTTCTCTCGCCTTTCTGGTTTCTAAGGAAAGTTATCCCGTCTTCCCCACGCGAGACCATCTTTTCTCGAATGGTTGTGCTGTCTGGAAAGGATGTAAGGGTGACCCCAGTGGCTGGTGAGCGCCTGGACTTAGCCTGTTAGAGCCCAGGACTTGACTTAGAAACTTCCCTTTAGGAACGTCAAAGCCACTGGGCTTTCTTCCCGGTCTGATAGACTATACCTCTCTGGCAAGACCAGCTTTCCTTAGTTTTAATTAGGATCTCTGGAAATCTTGGAGAGTCTTTCCTAAGCAGTGTGAATGACAGGTGTTACTCTGACAACCTTCACACATTTAATTGTCGCTCTCTGAAGCAGCTGCAGAAAACCAGAAAATACCTAAGGTTTCCCTCCCCTGACATCTGAGAATTAGATTCATTTTCTAGTGGTTGCGAGATCTTAGTGGCAAGGGGTCCTACTTTACTTTTTATTTGTGGGAGAAAAACCCATGTAATTTAGAGTTGTGTGGTTTAATTTTTCTTTTTCAGATGAGAACTGGAGGAGGAATTGGTTAAGTGATTTTTAAAAGGCGTTCTAGATGAGCAATGTTTGAACTAAAAATGAGTTCCGAGTCAACACCTGTGATACTGAATTACTGTTGACAGTGATGAATGATACATGGATTCATCCATCCATCCATCCATTCATTATTCATTAGTTTTGAGGCACAGTCTCACTATATAGCCGTGAATGGCTGGGTCTCACAGAATTTTCCTGCCTTTTCCTTCTGGTGCTGGGACTAAGGGGGAATGCTGTCACAACAACTTTACTTTGTAATTTTTTTTTCCTTTTTTCCTTCCTTCCTGCTCCCCCTGCCTGCTTGCATCATATTCAGGCCTGAACTCAATCCTATTATCCTAATGAGGTGGAGAAGGAGAATCAGGTGTTGATGGTTAGTGTTACACTAACTTAGCTCCATAAGACCCATGTCTCAAAAACAGACAAAAAAACAAAAATAGAAAGTAAAGAATTATATTCCGGGGGTGGGGGGGAGGGCAACAAATCTCAAGGTTTAGCAACAACCCATCAACCAGAAAGATTTGATAATGGCTGCTTTCATCTCTAATATGTCACCAGTACATAGGATACGTATCCTTATATTTTTAATGGTCTAAGCAGAAAGCAAGTCCTCAACAGTCATTTGAATGACTTACAAATAGAAGGCTATGTATGCTTTTGGAAGCTGCTCGTCTCTTCATGAGTAAACCACGAGAGCTGGCATTTGCAGTTGAGCACAGCTATGTTAGAAGCTGAAATTCTAGTTTCGTGTAGTTTTCATATGTCACAGCATAGTCTTTTCCTTTGAGCCATTTGAAAGTCAAGAGTATGGCACTTCTTTATGTTGCCCCACAAAAGTAAATGGCAGCTTCAAGATTTATTGTATGAACTGTTGTTTGTCTGCCTGTATGCTGTACTGTTTTCTACCTGATTTTATATACCTTATATTCTAGTAACCCTTCAAGGTCTCTAGTATGGTCAAGCTCCTCACCGTCTTCAGTGTTTACTTATAATAGTTAAACATACTAATGTTTTAGAGCTACTTTTGAAAGAAGTGTTATTAAACTTGTGATTTTGAACCAGGATCTCCCGTAGGTGTGATACTCTGAAGAGAGGTGTGTATTTCTACATATAGCCTCTTTAAGGCAATCTAAGCTTTTCTGTTGTAAGTATCTGCTAGAGCAACACCCCACTTCATGTGCCCGGATCTACAAGAATTTCCATAAGGAGCTGATATATACTTGGTGGCTTCACAAAAAGCTAACTTTTTCAGAACATCAGAAGTAAAAAGTATGATCTGCATGTCAGCAGGGCCATATTCATTCCAGATATTTAAGAAATGACTCTGCCTTTCTGGCTTCTGCTGGCTCTTGATATTCTTGGTTGTGAAACCATAGCTCCAGTCTCTGCCACCAGTTATATAATGTCTTCTACTCATGGCACTGTGTATTGTTCTCTGTCTTTTATTAGGCCATTCATATTAGATTTATTACCTCTCTAATCTAGTATAATCTCATGTTGAGCCTTACCTTAATTACGTTGCAAGTGATATATAGTCATGTGCTATGATTCTAAGTAGATATTAATTTGGGAAGTAAGACATTACTCAATCCTCTCAAGTCTCTTTTGGATAATAGTCATTTATATACAAACTTTTGTGAAATGTATTTACAAAAATAAAGAGCTGATGCATAATTAGTTGATAAAATTATTTCATGAATTGACGAGATGGCTCATGGATTGATGAGATTTCTTGATGATTAAAAGTTTTTGCTACCAAGCGTTCCCCCTCTAGGACCACATGGTAGAAGGAGAGAACCAATTCAAGCAAGCTGTCTTCCTACCGCTCTCTCCATGGATGCTATGGCAGGCCTGCACTCCCCTCCCAATAAACGTGTTTCTTAACATGCTAATACTCTTTGTGTTAATATCAGTACTTGAGGGTGCTGGAGAAATCACTTTCTTTCAGCCTTTATACTAGAAGTTGTTAAGGATATTGTATATATGTATACATATTAATAACACTAAAGTTCTGTTGATTTAAAGAAATTTCTTGCCCAGTATGCATTGTTATAACAAGATCTTAAACCACCTCTTTATTAAAATCATGGTGGTCTTTAACTGATTGGAACAAAGGTGAAGTTTGGCTATTTTGATGTTGACTCTAAAATATTTGGGAAGGATTCAAATGCTTACATAACTAAGAAAATAGTTATATGAGTAGCATAAATATAAAAGTGTTTGAGACTTGCAATACAATGAGATTAAGGTTAGATATAGTCCCTATAAATAAATGAATGAATATATTTAAGCAGACTTTTACACAAAAATCCCAAATTATATGTACTTGAAGATTGATAATCATCTTTTGAAAGCAGAAATTGTTTTTTTTGGTGTGGCCACTGGAAGGCCATATATAAACACATGCAATGCAAACTTTGGCATTTCAAGTAGAAGCAGAAACAATTATTTGTGTCTGTAAGTCATAAAAACTGATGCTGAGTTATGATAGCTAATTATATCATAGGTTTTTCACATTAAAAATATTTTGCCCTTCAATTGACTGAGTTTTTCTATAGTATCATGTGCAGTCATCATATTCATTAAATGATTAATCATTTTTTACAACAGCATTATAAACTAATTTCTACTATGTTTACACTTTTAAAATTAGCCGAACATGGTGGTGTCTGGTCTTTAATCCCAGCACTCTGCGGGCGGGAAAATCTCTGAGTTGAAGCAATATGGTCTACAAAGCAAGTTCCAGGACAACCAAGACTACATAGAAAATCCCTGTCCACAAAGAAAAGATGCCATTAGAAATGCTGATCTGTAACAGTCTGCATGGCTGTCTCATCGACTTCTTGACTGCAGTGCCCAGCTTTTTATCGAACCTGCTATCCTGTTTTGTCTTTTCACTTCTTTCTTCTTAAGTCCTCATTTAGATAAAAGACTTTAATATTATCATTTGATAAAAGTCCAATGCTATTGAATATCTATTGTGAGGACTCCTGCTGCCTCACTTAAAGAAAGATACAATTCCCTGAGAAATGTCTACTTGCACCGTACATTAATGTAACCCAGCATTGGTCTGAGAAGACCTAACAGCTTTCTTTGATTTACTGCTTTAGGAATCTGCAACCATGGATGACTTACATGTGCCTCGAGACCTGCTTTAGATTTGGGTTTTCCTGAAATCCTTGCAACTACGCTAACGTTGAATGAATTGTAGAACAGACCTATGGTAAGTGGACTTTAAAAAAAAAAAAAAGAAGGAAAAAAAAGCCTCTATTTCTGTGGGTTTCATGTTCAAGTTAAGTCCTTTGGCTGTTGTAAGGCTGCTCCCTGCTGGACAAAATGTGGCTTTCTAAGGTTGGCACTAAGTAGGTGAGCAAAGAACTGCTTGACTGCTCTCCCTCCCCATACCAGGGGTTCTTGCTACATTCACAAAAGCCATCCTCAAAGTAGCACTATACTGTGCCACGGTGTTGGCAGTCTAGTATAATGCAATGAGAAGGCTGATCCTCTCATGTTTGTTGGTTGCTTTCTGTTTAGTGGCATTTAAAGGTCCGCAAACATATTCAGGGATGCCTGTCAATGTGGGCCTTAAATAACTTCTTTAATTGTGTGTGTGTTGATTTGTAGTGTAGGTCAGGTATGTTATTATAATAATGATACCTGTTATAACAATTGTGTTCCCATATGCCATTGTAGAAACAAAATTATTTCCGTCTATGCAAACTAGATCGTATTAGATCTATTTAAATGAACAACCCATGCTTTATGTTTTATAGATGTTTTAAAATATTATATACCTTGTTCTTTACCCTATTCCAGGTGCTATGTTTGGTAGCATGTAGAGAGTATACTTCACAGAGTGACAGTGGGTCTGACATCAAATATTGTATCTGCAGCTAACCCCATTATAGACCTTATCATACGTATACAAAAGTTCTTCTAAACTTGATTTAAAGCATATGAGAGAAGAATCTATATTTCTCCTATCTTCAAGCTAAATATTCTTAGTTTTTTGTCAGTGCAACTTGCACAAAATTATCTGGTTGTAATCTAGAATTTTTAGAGTAAGTATGCATTTTTAGTTTGAAATGAAGAAAAAGTGGCAGAAATAGCATTAAGTCCATAAGTGAAAGTTAAGCAGAACAACTGATTTTACATTATTTACATGCCTCCCATATTTTTATAGCTATTGCTAGCATGTGAAAATCGTACTTAATTGGAATTATCAAGAAGTAGGCATAGTAATGGTTCTTTGTTATTACAATATTGCAGCAAAAAATTGTAAAAGTGGATCAAAAATATAAATTGTTTTTAATAAGAGAAAGAATCTTTCTCAGCCAAAAAAATTGCAAGAATACATAATAAGAATACATTATCACAGATAATACATAATTTAAAACTACATTGCATAATGTAAGGTTATGAAGAAACACAGGCAAATATGTGGACTAATTGTGAATACCTGTATAACAAACCCAAATCCCCATACGCCTGGAGCATCACTAGCACTCTGCAATCTAATGCAGTTCTCTCCCTTCCCTCACTCCCCCTCTCCCGAGTGAGCAGAGGAGTCTAACTATTGATGGTTTCCCATTCCTGTCCTCAAGCATCCTGAGACTGTTGACTATTTTACCATGTCTAGCTTAGTCTCTCATTTCTTTAGAGGTAACAAATAGTCTACCTTTTGCTGTATTTATATTAGTTATATATAATTTTTAGTTTTCATGTATGTTTCTAAGCAATATGTTTATATTTTGACTCTTTTTCTTATTTTTTTTTGCATGTGTGTTTTTTATGTGGGTGCTTTTTTGCGTGTGTGTTTATATGGGTGCTTTTTTTTTTGCTTGTACATATTTCTATGTACCACTTTTTTTAAAAAAAAAAGTTTATTATGTATACAGTGTTCTGTCTGGAAGAGGGCACCAGATCTCATTATAGATGGTTGTGAACCACCATATGGTTGCTGGGAATTGAGCTCAGTACCTCTGAAAGAGCAGTCAGGGCTCTTAACCTCTGAGCCATCTCTCCAGCCCCAGAGAGTTTCTGATTGTTTGTTTGTTTTTGTTTTTCAAGATGGGGTTTCTCTGTGTGGTCTTGTTTGTCCTAGAACTCACTTTGTAGACCAGGCTGGCCCTTAACTCACAGAGATCTACCCACCTCTGCTTCCTGAGTGCTGGGATTAAAAGCTACCACCACCTGCCTCTTTTTCTTTATAAAATAGTATCTATTCTCTTATTCACTCAACATTTTGTTTTAAAGCATCATCTGCGTTACGTTCATCTTTATTCTTTTATATTAACCCTTCGCTGTGAATACCAATTCAGACTTTCTGCATTTAGCTACTATTTGGTGTGTTTATTCTTAGGCAATTTTAAAAGCCATTGCAATGAACATTCGTCAAAAGTCCTAGTTACTGTCACCTTTTACAAAATATTTCAGATGGGCTAGAATGGTGGCCAAGTAGTTCAAAGCACTTACTCCAGAGGACCTGATTTAGAATACCAGCAACCACATGGCAGTGAACTACCACCCATAACTCTAGTGCTAGGATATCTAGTACTCTCTCCTGCCTTCTGTAGCCACTGTGTACATGTGGTGCACATACATAGGCTCGGGTACACTCTCATACACAAAAAAATAAAAGCAAAATCAACTGTCTGGGATGGGTGTGGTGGTGCATGCCAGTAATCCCAGCATTTGGGAGCCATCTCAGCAAGATCACTGAGTTCAAGACCAGCCTCATCTACATAGCAGTTCTAGGCCAACAGGGACTACATAGTGAGATCCTCTCTCAAAAATCAAACATAAATAAAAATCAAATTTATTACCGATAAATGATATGTTCATCTGGAATATAGTTATCATTGCAAGATAATTACAGTGATACTTTAAAGGAATATGAGAAATTTGATCCATCTTGACAAAAACAGTTATGGAGTGATGGAAGGGAATGATGTAAGTTTAATTTGTTTTATTAAAGACCTTAAATGTATGCTAAGGTGACCTATTGTTAGAGATTATTTAATATTGAATATATAGATAGATACAGAAATATTAATTGTATAAGTTTAGGTATGTTATTTGCTAAGTTTTCTAAGCATATCTTTATTTTGTCCTTTAAACTTAACCATTCTAGACTGTATTTTCTTGTGTGGCAATTTTGCTCCATTTTTTGGACTTAAGAGAGAGGGCCAAGGGAAATGGACTTAGGTGATGAAGGGTCATTTTTTGCAAAATAACTCCTTAAGAGAATAGGACTGTTTATCCATATTTGTTGACTGTGCTTCTTTTGTTGCTACTTTGTCTTGTTATTTGTCTTTAAGGAGAATCTACTGTGTTATCAGAAAGAAATTTTTGGAGTAGAAAAACAAATGTACAGCTTTCCATGTTAGTTGACACTTATATTCATAAATGCCTATTTATGAATAGATAATTTCATGAAGCATTTGTAGATAATCCTAGTAACCTAAATTAGGTATAATTCCCTCTATTAAAGATTAGTATATTAAATATACATTTTTAATGGAAAGAAAAATTAGATTTTAGCTTCTTGTCACCAAGGCAATGTATTAATGCTGGCAGCTCCAGTTAAAAATTTTAAGTGTCCTCTAAATTATTTTAAGTAGGACCGTATGATTATCATTTGTGGTTAAGTTGTAAACATTTATGAGACTTCAATTATATTTTTTTAAAAATGTCACTATATGTTCTAATGTGTGCTATTTACATTATGGAATTATGTTTTTGAATACCCTAATTATTTTGCTTTTATCTTTTCACTAATGTATATTAGTAAGTTAATTATTACTGTGTTACTTTTATATTTCATAATGAGAATAATTTTCCATTTTAAGACATATTTTAAAATGCACTCTCATCACAGTGCAGAAGTTAAAGAAAGGTGGGTGATTAGATTAGACCTGACTTCTCACTAAGCTTGGTTTTTACTTGTCAATTGCATTTTTTAGTTTAAAGTATCAAATTAACTATTATTTTATTCTGTCTTTTATTTTAATTCATGCATTTAAAAGCTGATATTCAGGTAAAAGATAATTTCAAAATAAAATCAATATATTACTTATGAGTGGAGCAACACATTAGCATTGGGTTCACAATAGATCATATCGCTTTTATTCCATTGTACAAGCTTAGCAGCACAAACAGAATAATCAACATATTATTTGGCTGTCATGTGCTGAACAGAAACCAGAGATCACAAGGAGGTTTTCCCTAACTGTGGTGATGGCCTTTTTGTTCCAAGCCCCCATCTGGGAGGGCCATGGTGTGTTATCATATGGAACGCGGGCTTTTCTGTAATCTGCTTAGCTGCACTGCCGTTTGAATCTTCATTCCATGTTTTTGTAATTTATAATTTTAATGAGACCATGGCTCTTGTGGGCTTTGAAATATATTAAAAGCTCTTTTGTGCATATGCTTTTGTTCTTGCTTAATAGGCTCAGTGTATTTAAAACTGATGAATTTTTATTCATGAATTTGGATGTCTGGAGATTAACTTAGAATGAATATCATTGCACTCATCTATTGATAGTTAGAAAGGGGTTTTTTGTTACTGTTATTTCATTTGCGTGTGTGTGTGTGTGTGTGTGCACCTATATGATACTTGTAACTGGAAAATGCTAAACTTAAATAATTTTAAGAGGGTAGAGAAAAATAGCATAATTAAACCCTAAAGAATAGATTAAATTTTAACCATCTTATTTCATCAGTAGTGTTATATGTTAAATAAATATTGTAATGGAATAACTATTAAAAAACAACTTTTAAGCAAGCTAGTAGTACCTTAAATACTTTAATTTGCATCATATAGTTAAAATCACACTTGAATACTTGGTGGAAATAGGCTTTATATTTTAATCATATTATGGTTTGTCTGTAGTTGTTGTAAATGAGTCATTCTCTTTTTTAGTTGTTAGGCATATGTTGCATATTTTCACTGTTTTTATGTGTTGTTTTTATTGAACCATTTTTAAGTGAAAGCTTAAAAACATTAATGGATATGATGAAAAGACATGGAAAAGCAGCTTACTCATAGTTTAGAAAATTAATCTCTGATTTTTCTAATATTCTGAGATATACTAAATGTTTTATTCTCTTCTACTAAATTATGTTGAAAAGTTTTGAGTATAAACAATTTTATATTTATATAAAAAAATTGTCGTCCTTTATAAACCCAGACATGTTTTTAAGCTGCTCTCTATTGCATTT